GTTCAACGTGACAGTGGAAGGATCGAGACATGATGTCCCAGATGGGCTCAATAAGATTCAGGTCAGGGGAAAATATTGGTCAGTCCACAGCTTCAATGCCTTCATCTTGTAGGAACAGCTGATACACTCCAGCCACATGAGGTCTAGTATTGTCCTGCATTAGGAGGAAGCCAGGGTCGACCACCCCAGCATATGGTCTCACAAGGGGTCTGAGGATCTCATCTCGCTACCTAATGGCAGTATAATATCTCATTAAATTATTTTTCCAAAGTCCAAATAAATTTGCTTTTGGTTCCTTATTTGTGGACCTACTGTTTCTACTCTTACCAGTATAATTCAGTTGAAGTACTGAGGTGAACAACAGGCAGTCTATTTTAAAATGTTAATGTGTTGAATGTTTTTGATAGTTGGGAGTAGGTACAGTATGTGAGATGTTATTGGTTTTGAGTAGCTTCTTTATTTATGCATTATTTATCTTTGTTGATGCTCTCTATTTATTATGACTGAGCTTAAGCTGTCCCAGGAAGAAGTATGGGCTGTGATATGCCAGACACAGACCTCCAGGAGAGCTGGAAATGGAGAAATATGTGGTTCCACAAATGAATGTTTAGGACACATCTTTCAGATTTGAACCTGGAAAGCTTTTTGAAAACCTTCTTTTCCTTTCACCTATTTAAAGCAATCTTGCACTCTAACTGAAAAGGTATAATATTACATCTTTTAGGTATCGTCTGTTCAAAAACGTTCTTATACACAACCTGATGAAATTTATTGTGTTCATGCAATTAGATGCAAAACATACAAGAAGAAAAAGTTTGCTTTTGACAAGCTGCTTTAAGGTAAGCACTGCTGATTTTATTTTTTCTAGCTCCAGAATGAAAGTTATTATCCCAAACATGTTTTTCTTGCATAGTTGTACCGTAATTATGAAGGATTCAGATTTCCAATGCAGCTGGTGTTTTTTGGGGCTTTTTTTATTTTTTATGTTTTAATAATTTTTGCTGAAAACCGTGAAGTTATCTGGAAAGATTATGTCTAGATTTAAAGAAATGGACAGCCATATTCTTTTATGAGTTTCTGCCTGAAATCTACGTTTGTTACCTTATATAACCATCAGGGGGCACTATAGTGCAGGTGTTCCCTTAATAGCCTCTTGTGAACTATCCTACACTCTATTTAATCTGTTTAGAGGTTTGGGATATTACCTATTTTGATAACAGTCCTATAAAAAGTTAATACAGTTCCAGTATTGACCCTGTATTTAATAATACTATTACATTATATTATTTACGTTTGATAGTTTAAGCTAAAAGACAGAGCTGTTTTGTCAAAATAGCAGCAGTGCATACAAGAGTGGATCTGAAACTAAAGTTTAAATCTCACCACTATGATGCAGTACAGACTTGGTATCTTATCAATATTTTAGTTCATGGCTAAAGAATTTTTGTAAAGAAAGTAGTTCTAAAACCCTTCTAAAAGAGGTTCTCTCATTAAACCATATGTGACACTTCCAAAAAAGTTAGAAAACAATCCACTGGACTTGGTTTCCAAGTTTGAAGATGTTTCGCTTCCCATCCAGGAAGCTTTTTCAATTCAAAATATCAGAATTATTGTTGAGTTTGACGCTTTATATAGTAGCCCCCATATGCGACACAGTACAGCCCCCAGCTATTAATTTACCATAGTAGCTTTCATTGCTCTTCTCATTGACACTGTGATAACAACATTAGTAAAAGCACTGTTAAAAGTTGAGAATACAAACCTTAATTGAAAGTTGATTCAAATAGACAGGTTATTTTTCTTTCAAAACCACTTTCTTTAAAATAATTAGCAGTGCATTTTTTCCCCTTCAAGAATATGTTTTTTTTATATCTGTTTGCCAGCTAGTGTTGTTTTTGTTAATGCACAGTTGTCTGTGTAATAATAGCTCAATGTTTAACGCTTTTATTCAGAACTTAATTTAATCCATTTCCATTTAAAGTTCATTTTAAGACATACATTTTCTCACTTTTTTTTAAGTCTGCTCCAATCTTAAAATAATTGATCACGCAAATATAAGAGGTCATTTTTTAAGTTAAGTCTCAATTACTTAATTTGAAAACAGCATTTTTAATTTACTTGTGTTGTTTTTGACTAATATATAAATTAGTTTGATGTTTTGTCAGACATAATTGTGACAAATATGCAAAAAAAAAAGAAAGAAAAACCTCAGGAAGGAGGCAAACACCCTTTTCATAACGTATATGTTAAAATAAAACGTATAAGTCTTAAAGCAGGTTCAACAAAAGGGAAGTCAACTAATTCCATTTATATGGAAAATTTATCGAAAATTTATTGGTACGTGAATATAGCACTTTAGCTAAGTTATCCAGCCAGCAGTATCAATATACTCAACACCGTGAGAGCAGGTATAAAAGAGATTTTGCAGATATGAATCTGATTGATAAAGTACAGTACTGCAAAATGTACAGCAAAATTAACATGAAACACCTTTAATCATTAAATAAACAACTTTAGAATCCCTTATACCTTTAAAGGTGAATAACACTGCAGAGTTAGGTTACTAGATTTAAGGGCTTGTTGCTATGAATTGGGGCTGTAAAAGTAGGGGGTGGCCCTAAACACAGCACAGACAAAATAAACATGCAGTTGTGCGTGAGAGTTTACATTCCCGCCCACTGAAAAAAATTTCTAGCAATAGTACCACTAGTAACTCGAATAACACTAAACAGAAAACATTATAATACCATATATCTACCAAAAGATAATTTCGTAAAATACTGATTTGGAATTATTGTTTAAAAAAAATTATAAAATTTCTTATGAAATACCTGTCAACAGATGCAGAAGTCTGACTGAACATTTCCTAAACATTACAGAAAACACCTGATTGTTTCTGTGTTTAATGGAAGGGAATAACTTTATTTGTTAGTCCAAGATGCACTTTCAGAATTCTTGGTCTTCAAGCCATACAAAGCTGGGCTAAGTAAGAAAAACAATTTAACCTCTGACAACTAACATATGGGCACCTTTTTAAAGACACGTTTGACCTCATGACTCTTAGTGACTGTAGAGTCCAGCCTGATGGCGCTGCCAAACCGTTACGATTTAGCCAGCGTATGCCGACGTTCAGAAAAATTTGGCAAAACCGCTGACGTATGTTGGATAAGTTATGGATCAGTTTTGTATAAGTTATGAGCACACTGAAGGATGCTGACACATGTCGAAATACAGCAAGTGTGTCAAGAAATTATGAGCATTTTCAAAATTTCTTGACGTATGCCAGCATATGCTCATACTTGGGCCATAAGTTACAGGTAAGTTATGTGATCGTTGAAATATGTTAATTGTAAGTTACTCATAAGTCGTGTTGTCTAGCTTATCAAAAACCTATGAGTAACGAGTGCATAACTTATGCATAACTTATCAAGAACTTATCTCAAACGCATATCAACATATGCGGGTGTATTTGACGTGTTCCAGCTGAATGTGTTTCTAACTTACAGGTACTGTATAATGGCGTTTTGGCAGTGTTTTGGTATAAAAGGGGGTTCACAGGAGGAAACCATCAGTACTTGTCCAGACTTTATGGTGAGCAGACGTTCCACAAGAGATGGATGATTAAGCAAGGCTGAGACAAGAATACATACACTAGCTGTCCTCCAACATCAGCATGATCTCATCAGTTTGACTCTGCCAGTTGTGTGCTAATAGAGCCAGAAGAAGAAGAGGTCAACACCAGCGAAGGGACTGGGTCAGACCATGGATCGGGAGCCAACGGTAGTTTGGCACATATGATCAGCTGATGGTGGAGCTGCTTACAGAAATCTTCTTATGCTTTTTATCAGTGTTGGGCAAGCTACTTGTCCAGTGT